GTGGTATCTGCTCCGTCAGGATCTCGTCGCCGCGCGTTGCGGTAGCTGCTCCGTCACGATCTCGTCGCCGCCGTTGCAGTAGCTGCTGCGATGAGGATTTCGTCGCCCGTCGTTCAGCCTCGGCGCCGCGCGATTGGAGAGAGAATGGTGAGAAACGAGCTGCACTTTTTCGGACAAAAGGAGGTGCAACTTTTCGGTAGGACAAAAATACCCTTCCTTTGTTTTTTACCCTAGTCAATGCATGAATTTCAAAAGTATGCAGAATGGTGGGTTCCTATTGGTCCACCTATGTTGTTGTTACAATAACAACAAATATAGTGTTGTTATAATATCCGGTCCCCTGACACTGGGTTTTTTAAGGAAAACCTTGGCATCAGAGGAGATTCGATCCAATCAGCCTTCAGACGGTTGTTCTCCTGATCTTGTACTTCAAGTCACAACTCCCCTCGCCCATTAAAGATCCCCCATCTGCATCGAATAAGCCTCCAAACATATTAGCTCGACCTACATTCATACTTACAAAAAAAAAAAAAACAGCCAGTCGGATAGTTTCATACTTACATAGCATTGAAGCTTCTGGAAAATACCTTCACTGGATCGATCTTGCTCAACTAGGGCTTCCAACTTGTAGTCAAGCAGTTGACCTTCAAATCTACACCCTTTCCCTTCAATTCCATCGACCATAATGTAAGATACAAACCGGTAAAATAAGCACCACGAAACAATCCCGACACTTAGCCAAATTCTTCCATTCCTCTTTCCTACATTGATTGATCTTTTGGCAAGCACTTGATTCATATTTAGGGCATAATCTAGGATCATATCATCATGTTATACTCATAAACTGAGCCAGTTGAGTATAGATATAATGCAATATTAGAAACTCGAATAGCCATAGGTAATAGCCATACAATAGTTAATAACACTTTTCTACTTGGAAGTTTACAGATCCCTAAAGAAGTTCCAAATTGATTGTGTCTGGTTATTCTGGAAGTCATATCTAAAGGTGACAAAGCTGGCTAAGGGTGAGCACTTCCTGAAGGTTCAAGTGGCATGTCTACAAAAGGTCATTTTGTTAATTGTTTATTGCCCTAATAAAGTACATGACAAGATCAGATATATGAAGAATTATATTAATTAACCCCTAGCAATGATGCGAGACTTCAATGTAGTAGCAGAGATTTTAGAATCATTGAATTGCAGTAGTGTCCTAAAGAGTTAGCTTGAATTTAGAGGATGGATTGATGGTATGCAACTGCTAGATCATAAATTTCTAGGCTCTTGGTTTACATGGTGGAATAAGCAACAGTTGCAACCCTAAAATTTTCTAGAATCCGGCGAGATGAACCCAGAATCGGGCGACTTCAACTCGTAATTGGGTAAAACCAATTCCGCCGTGCTCAAGCCGAATTCTTGGCTTCGACACCATCCTTGGGATGCTAGGATTTGAACCAAGGTGGGCAATTGCGTCGAATTAAGACCAATCTCCACGACCGATTCGCCCTTCTCAACCCTGTTCCTCTGCTCGTTTTGCCCAAAATTTGTGAATTGGGCATTTTTATTGCACGACCTCTTGCCATATTTTGATCGTTCCTACAAGTTCTAGGACCGAAAACAAACGTGTTGGTGGATTCAGATTGATTCTGATCACTCTCTAGTGCCTTACCCAATTCATTCTCTTTCCTCCCCTACCGCGTCGGAGACGGAAAACATGAAGGTTTTGTTTTGAGGGCCGAAGAGTTGTAGGCCTCTTCAAGGCAGTCAACATGAAGCCCATACGCACTAACCATGTCCTCTATCGTGTCCCTCTAGTTTCTCCTCCTTCTCGAGCTCGCATTGATGCCATATGTTGCTAAGTGAGAGTAAGAACACACATGCAACAATTATCTAAGCTATTGGATGAATATGGTTCTGAGATCTCAGATGTTCATGAAATGGGAAGAGCTGTTGTTGATTTTTATAAGAAACTGGTTGATGAAGTTGATGTTAATGTCCAACAACACTCAGTTGAGCTCTTCTAAGAAATATTAAGTCTCATGCTGGATAATGTGGGTAGTGACAGCCTAAACTGTGTAGTTTCATATGAAGAGATGCATAAAGTGTTCAAGAACTTAGGTTGGCATGGCTTTCTAGTCGAGTTTTGTCATCTACAATGTTAGTTGAGGATGTGGTGCGCCGGTTTTTCTAGATATGTCTAATGCCTAAACAGATTAATGCTACAGTGTTTGTGGCTAAAACCCAAAATTTAGTGAACATGAACGATTTCAAACCAATCTCTTGTTGTAAGGCCACGTACAAGGGTATTGCCAAGATTTTGGCTAATCGATTAGCTAGTGCTTCCCAAAATTGTAATTCCTTGTGTTTTCCTCTACCGCACGCGATCCCTGTCAAATCCCCTACAAGGACTCGTGTAGTTCTCACTGGTAATAGCTTGGAACACACCACTCTCTCAGCAGTCCTCGTAGCTCAGTCCAAGTCTCCACTGGAGCTTGTAAATTCCGTTGAAGTCGAAGTTGATGCTGCTCCCACCATTGTGCCGCGTAATCTGAGAAATCGTAATGCGACCTTTTGTTGCTATGTGAACTGCCCACATTGGAAGAAGAAGAAGATTATTTTCCTCTCCCATTCCAAGTACGTTGTTGGGTTCAGCGTTCCCTGAAATTGCGGGACGGTAAACCGGTTACCGTTTTACCAGTTTTGGTATTACCGGAATTCCCAAACCTTGCGTCATACGCTGATACCGCCTGGCTCCCGGTATACCGCTTACCGTTTCAAAACGATTTCGGGAAGGGACATGGCATCTCGAATTTTACCTTTTTCAGAGCTGTCCGCTTGTCCCTGCCCCGCTGTCCGCCTGTCCTTGTCACCGCCAGACCCCGGCGCCACGTACACCCTGGCATCGGTGCTTCCTCATCACCGACGCTGCCGCCTCGTGGTGGTGGTGTCAAATTTTCAAATACTCAAATGTCAATACTCGATTAAATTTGGTGCACAAAGCCACAATAGTCGGCTAATTAATTAAAAAAAGCACAAAACAAAATCCAACAAATAAATTCCAAACAACAAATTGAAAATACTAAAAAAATAAGATCAAATATAGCATTATAGTAGTACGTACTACGTAGAATTCCAAATAGAGAAATCTGGTCTGCTGCTTCAAATGTTTAAATTAAATTCTAAGACATTAAGATAAAAAATAGAATTACTAGTTCCTCACTTGCCACTAGGACATGTACCACCAACATCAACAAAACCTTGCTGCTTCAAAGTAGTGCGAAGGTTATCATCACCATTATCCTCCTTGTCCTGGTCCTCTTCATCCTCGTCTGAATCTTCCTCCTCTTCCTCCTCCACCACAACAGGTAAACTTTGTTTGACACCTTCACTTGGCATGGCAGTAGCACTCTCCATTCGAGTTTGGAAGTTAGTAGTGACTAAGTGTAAAAAAAAATACAAATTGTTAGAATTCATCTAATAATATGTAATCGGAAACTGAGTAATGGAATACTTAAAAATAAATGAAATTATGAATTCTTACCACTTTCATAATCGATTTGGTCTTGATTTTCATCTTCTGTATCATCAACTTTGTCTGCTTTCTTCCCTCCTTCATACCTGATCCAATCTTCAGCACAAATCAAGGCCTCTACAATTGTGGGGGCTCAACGAAGACTAAACGGGCTGAGCACTCGACCTTCACTACTGAAAGCAGCCTCTCACGCAACAAAGGAGACTGGAACAGCTAGGATATCCTTAACCATCTGGGAAAGAATAGGATATCTAACGATGTTCTTACTCCATCACAACAAGATGTCAAACTTCATATCATTATCATCCTCGTTAATAGCATCATCAACATCTCTTAAGTAGATGTCTAGCTCAGAAAAACCTCGAATCCCCCTCTGAAGTTGCTCCTTTCTCATGTTGAAGAATTTAGCATCAAATGTCCCTCCATAAGATGCAGATCCAGTACCATAATCAGCACTAGGAGTGGTCTGAAAAGTAGGCTCGGAGGGTTGAGGTGCATACTTCAATCTGTAAACCTCAAACATTGCAGTCATCTCTGCAGTCACATCTTTCACCAAATCGTCTCTTTTCTTCTTCCCATACATCTTATCCCACATCCAATACAAATAAGCCGTTTAACGCCTAGGATCTAGCACACAAGCCATGTAAACCAGCCTATTTATCCTTAGGTTCTCCACCTCGTCATCATCATCATCATTCTCAAACCAATACTTTCGTACCTTTGCCTCCATTCTTGTTGCCATTCGTTGTATCTCTACATCCATGTCTTTCTTAAAATCTTCTATCACTTCATAGATATCAGCAATAGCCTTGAAGAAAGTATGAGCAAGTCACATAAGATGTTCCTGAAACATCCAAAAATAACAACAAATTAGTAATTACAAGTTAATAAAAGTAAAAACCATGAGTTTTAATAGGTGGAGTTATGTTTGTTCACATACCTGATACCCGAAAGGTGAGCTCATAAAAGAACTTCAAATACTTCATTAGCCGTCGAATACTGCTCCAATCTTCCTTAGTTGGAAGACCTCTCTTTGAGTCCACATAATCCCGAAATGCAGAATCATTGGGGCTTGAATGCATGAATTTAAAAAAGAAAAAATGTAAAAAAATTAAAAATCATAAAATTGCCAACATGCCAAAAAAGGTATAAACATTAAACCATTAAACAACTATCTTAATTCTTAAATTTTTGTACTTGGTTTCTCAAGTAAATAAATTAGTACAAAACAAAAAAAGTTCTTCTACTGCGGTTGTGCTCGGCTCTATCTAAACTCGCAAAAATGAAAAGAAAACTAATTATTAGTTAATAATAAAATAATTGAATTAAATTACTTGTTTTGCTTCATCAATTATTCAATGACAATTGACAATTATACAACACAATTCTTTGATCATTGCTGCTCTGCTCGCCGCTCGGACAATTGACATTTGACAATTGACAAATTGAATACTATGACAGCGGAGAAGGGATGGTGAGCCGGAGAAGATTACCCCTAAAATGGACAGAGAGCCAGAGAAGGGACGGTGACGGTCTCACGGAGTTCGACGGGCAGCGAAGCGGCGAAGGGAGGGACATGATGGAAACAGAGCTTGGCGGAGACGATGCCTGCTCTGGATTTGGGTTGCTGTCTGTCGAGTCCTGTTCCTGTCTCTTGGCTCTTGGATGGAGCTTTCACTAGCGACGGGGTTCGACGGCGACGACTAGCTTCGACGTAAACAGAGCAACGAGCCAACGACGATGAGACAAGTCACAAGATGGAAACAGACAAATAGTCAAACAAAGCCTCCCAGAGGAGAGGATGACTAGATGAGGGCTGTTGCTGCCGTCGTGCCCTTGGGTGGAGGCGTGGAGCTTGAATTCGATGAACGGAGGAGGAGGAATCGACGGTGGTGGTCGTGCAGCAGTCAGGGCCTCAGGGGATGCAAAAAGGATTAGATCGTTAGGGCCTTTTTAGTTTGGCCGATGTTTCGTTATTCGGAAATCCGAACCAAGGAGGATTCCTAATCGTTGATGGCTTGGCGGCTGACGCTCCGCGCTTGAATAATTGCTTTCCCTTTCGGTGTCAGAATACCGATCAGCCGACGGTAAATTGCAAGTCCAATCCCGGCATACCGCCAGCCAAGATTCCACTTCCGTTTACCGTTTTTTGTTATTGCTGGTACGGTAACCGGTTCAACCGGTAACCGCAAAACCGTTTAGCACCCCTAATTCTATCAAACTTAAAACGTAAAACGGACTCCAAAGGTGCAATCTTTCACGTGGATGAATGCTCGATTTGTTTGAGGTGAAGCTCGACCACGATTGCTGCGGTTGCAATCAATACGAAGCAACATTGTTGCTGGAACTCGACTAACACACAAGGATTTGGTGACAAAGTCAAAACTTTTTCATTCAATCCACTCTACCTTCTACACGAGGCTTCAAACCCTTTAAATAAACAACTACAACGCTAATTCTACTTACAAACTAATTAGGAATCAAATCTAACTCTTAAACAAAAAAGGAAACAGATTGCGGTTGCTTCACATCCATGGTTATGCCTTCCTGTGCAAGTAATCAACTCAGCTTCCATGGTAGCTCGGCCTGCTTCCAGACTTCGCAAAAACAAAAAACAGGCAGTCTGCCAGTTTCACCATAGCACTTGAAGCTTCTAAAAAATGCCTTCACTTGATCGATCTTGCTCAACTAGGGCATCTAACTTGTATTCAAGCACTTGAACTTCAAATCTACACCCTTTCCCTTCAATTCCATCGACCAGAATGTAAGATACAAACCGATAAAGTAAGCACCACGAAAAAGTTCGGACACTTGGCCAAATTCTCCCATTCCTCTTTCCTAAATTGATTGATCTTTTGACAAGCACTTGATTCATGTTTTGGGAATAATCTAGGATCATATCATCATAATATACTCAGAAACTGTGGTAGTTGAGTATAGATATAGTACAATATTGGACACTCGAGCAACCATAGGTAATAGTTATACAATAGTTAATAATACTTTTCTGCTTGGAAGTTTACAGATACCTAAAGAAGTTCCAAATTGATCGTGTCTAGTTATTCTGGAAGCCATATCTAAAGCTGACAAAGTTGGCTGAGGGTGAGCACTTCCTCAAGGTTCAAGTGGCAGGTTTACGAAAGGTCATTATGTTATTTGTTTATTGCCCTAATAAAGTACATGGCAAGAACAGGTACATGAATAATTATATTAATTAACCCCTGGAAATGATGCGAGACTTCAATGCAGTAGTTGAGATTTATGAATCATTGAATTTCGTTAGTGTCTTAAAGCTTGACTTTAGAGGATGGATTGATGTTATGCAACTGCTAGATCATAAATTTCTAGGCTCTTGGTTTACATGGTGGAACAAGCAACAGCTGCAACCCTAAAATTTTCTAGAATCTGGCGAGATGAACCCAGAATCGGGCGACATCAACTCGTAATTGGGTAAAACCAATTCCGCCGTGCTCAAGCCGAATTCTTGGCTTCAACACCATCCTTGGGATGCTAGGATTTGAACCTAGGTGGGCAATTGCGTCGAATTAAGACCAATCTCCACGACCGATTCGCCCTTCTCAACCCTGTTCCTCTGCTCGTTTTTGCCCAAAATTTGTGAATTGGGCATTTTTATTGCACGACCTCTTGCCCTATTTTGATCTTTCCTACACGTTCTAGGACCGAAAACAAACGTGTTGGTGGATTCAGATTGATTCTGATCACTCTCTAGTGCCTTACCCAATTCATTCTCTTTCCTCCCCTACCGCGTCGGAGACGGAAAACATGAAGGTTTTGTTTTGAGCGGCCGAAGAGTTGTAGGCCTCTTCAAGGCAGTCAACATGAAGCCCATACGCACTAACCATGTCCTCTGTCGTGTCCCTCCAGTCTCTCCTCCTTCTCGAACTCGCATTGACGCCATATGTTGCTAAGTGAGAGTAAGAACACACAGGGAACAAATATCTAAGCTATTGGATGAATCTGGTTCTGAGATCTCAGATGTTCATGAAATGGAAAGAGCTGTTGTTGATTTTTATAAGAAACTGATTGATGAAGTTGATGTTAATGTCCAACAACACTCAGTTGAACTCTTCTAAGAAATATTAAGTCTCATGCTGGATAATGTGGGTAGTGACAGCCTAAACTGTGTAGTTTCATATGAAGAGATGCATAAAGTGTTCAAGAACTTAGGTTGGCATGGCTTTCTAGTCGAGTTTGTCAGCTACAATGTTAGTTGAGGATGTGGTGCGCCAGTTTTTCTAGACATGTCTTATGCCTAAACAGATTAATGCTACAGTGTTTGTGGCTAAAACCCAAAATTTAGTGAACATGAACGATTTCAAACCAATCTCTTGTTGTAAGGCTACGTACAAGGGTATTGCCAAGATTTTGGCTAATCGATTAGCTAGTGCTTCCCATAATTGTAAGTCCCTCTCAGTCTGCTTCTGTTAGAGGTCATTCATGAATGAGAATATCTTACTTGCTTTTGAGCTTGTGAAGGATTACCATAAGACTACTCCTAATGCGAGATGTGCCTTCAAAGTTGATATTATGAAAGCTTTCGATTCTATCAGTTGAGATTTCTTATTAACTGTTTTGAAAGCAATGAGGAACAGGGGTAAATTTTTTAATGTTGTTGTGTGCTTGTTTTTGCTCCTCGATGTTTTTTTTATGAATGATGATACTGAATTTTTATTGTAAAAATGAATGGAGACTTGCCAAAAAATGGCAAATAAACTGACAGACAAAGACAAAGGGAAAAAAAAGGAAGGGGGTCCAACGTGAGACCAATAAAAAGAAATGAAACAAAACCCAAAATCAAAACCCACAAAAATGAGCAAATCCAAACAAGTCTCGAGAAAAAAAAAGGAAAAGAAAAACACGAAGAAGCAAAAGAAAAAGAACAAACTGTTAGCCAGCTCCAATCCTCGCCCATTCCTGAAAGAGCTCATCTAAGATAAGGTTGAAAACTCGAAGCCATCTCCCAATCGCATGACGAATCTTGTGGCAAACCTCAACTAGGGGTGATTCAGTATTCCTAAAAATTTGGTTGTTTCTCTCTGTCCAAATATACCAAAACACCGCATGAGGTATAACTTTCATACAATCACTAAGCTTTGTGTCATACCCTAATCCTCTCCAAGCCGGAAGAAATGATGGTATCGTTGATGGGAGAGGGCCATGTAGCTGAAGAGATGATGTGAATCTTGCCCAAACGTCTTTTGAAAATGAACATGTGAACATGAGATGACAAATCGTCTCTTCTTGGCACTTGCAAAGAGAACACCAATTTGTGATGATCATGCCTCTTTTTCTTAAGTTATCAATAGTAGAGATCTTTGCTAAATAGGCTATCCAAAGGAAGCAACATATCTTCGAAGGCACATGCGAGATCCAAACAAGCTTGAAGGGGAAGGAAACGTCACCCGCAAAGGTAGTATCGATGAGGTTAGATGTGAAGGAGTGCACAGAGAAAATCGAGGAGGTCTCCAAAGGCCAAACAAGATGAGCAGGGCCGACCGAGATCCATTCTGGTGAGAGTGAAAACAACAGTTGCCTCAAACGGGCATGCTCCGCTTCAGCGCCCCGACGAAGGGAGATCGAAAGGGGTATCTCCAATAAAGACCTGTCATCCAAAGAAATCAAATCAGAAACAAAAACATCCAAGGATTGGGCAGCAGCCGCAACCCTTGGGAACTCTCTCGCAAGGTGCTTCCCCGAGATCCAAACATCGTGCCAAAAAGAAACCCCATTCCCCCCTCCCCCCCAGGATCGACATAGGCCACCTCCCAAAAATAAGAGCTTTCTTTGACAATCGCCCTCCACAAGGAACATCCATGATTACCCAAATTCCAGTTTGGTTTCCAATCCGACACACCAAGTCCACATTTCACAACCATCAACTTCCTCCACCAAGCATTTCTTTCCACTCCATACCTCCAAGCCCATTTGCCAAGCAAAACTCGATTCACACTCTTAAGATCCAAGACTCCCAAACCCCCCCATGGGAGTTTTGACAATTTCCCATCTCACCAAATGAAGACGTTTCACCTCAAAGACTCATGACCATAGAAAGTCATTTTGAATTTTTTCCAACCTAGCAATGACCGAAAGAGGGGCCCTAAAAAGAGACAGGAAGTAGATAGGAAGATTTGCCAAAACACTCTTTAATAACACCTACCTGCCTTCAAAGGACAACATCCTTGCCTTCCAAGTAGCTAGACGCTTCTGCACTTTATCAATAACTGGTTCCCATACTGCCAAGGACGCGGCTTTAGAACCCAGGCATTCAAGAAAGGATTAAGGAAGTTGACCCTCTGTCTACCTACTTATTCACTATTGTGAATTTGGGATGGAGGTATTTGATGCATTGATGAAAAGGGCAGTATTAAATAGCCAAATTCCATATCATCCTATGCATAAGTCATAGCTATCACGCACTTATGCTTCGCTGATGATCTCTTGATATTCTCAAATAACTCTATCAGAGAAGTGGCGAGAATGTGAAGGTTACTTGATAACTTTTATTGTGTATCTGGTCTAAGGTTTAATCTCACGAAAATTCAGCTCTTTAGTGCAAGTACCCATCCGGCATAAATGAAAGTGATGTATGAATATACTTATTTTTCTCTTGGAGAGCTACCTGTAAAGTATATTGGGGTTCCTTTGCTGATAGGCAAGTTAATTAGGAAAGATTGCAAGGTGATAGTTGATAAAATTACACAGAGGGTCCAAAGATGGAGGACAAAGGCTGAGATTTGCAGGTATAAATGTTGCTAAATCTCTTTCGTATTAACTAGTCTGCTGCAGTGCTCGATGAGCTTGTTTTTCTTCCCAAGTTTGGTAATACTGAAGTTAAGAGTATTATGCAACAACTTCCTCTGAGACATTAGGGACTCAAGTCACAGAATTAGGGTTGTCCTCTCTTGGCAGTCTATTGCTCAACTTGAGAAGGAAGGCGTTGGGTAATCATGTGGATCATTGTGGGTAGTGTGGATCAAGCAATATAGGCTGAAGCATAAACCATTATGGAAAATCAAGCTAGCTGCCATAGCGACATGGCTATGGAGAAGGATCTTGAAATGTCGCGCTGATATCCGCCATTTGTATTAGCTCGGGACTTGGACTTGAATATGGGATGGGGCCAATCTGCCAAAGTACTTAATTAAGAAGGTTTGAGATTCGATCAGGTCTCGGGATGTTGAGGTAGAATTATACTGTTTGGTTTGGAGTAGGGAATCCCCAGGTATGGTTTTATACTATGGATGGCATTGCAGGATAGGTTACAAACACAAGATAAACTTTTAGTCTGGGGAAACCAGTCTCTGGTCAGTGTCTATTGTGTTCAGGTGGTGTGTAAACAAGTTCCCACTTGTTCTGTGCATGCTCATTCATTAAGCATATTATTAAATCTTATTTGAAGTATTTCGCGCCAACACAAGAGATAACAAACTAGGATAACATGTTGCATTGGAGTATAAGGAAGTGGAAGGTGAAGTCTGTTGTGTCAAGGTTTGGACGTTCTGTCCAATTTGGCGTGAGACAGCTCATGAATAAAACTATAATGTACTCCCATTCCAAAATAGAAGCTACTGCTCTAAGTATTTAGAGTCCAAATCATCCTGCAAATATGCTTCCCATTTCAAAACCATGTTAACTTGCAAAAGAGAGAGAAAAAGAAAAAAAGAACCAAACTAAGAGTAAGACCCTCCCCCAAGAAGAAGTCTCTGCACGCGACAACATAAAATAGAACTTTAAGACCATAATGAAGTACTAGAGGGGATGGAGGGGGAAACAAGTATTGAACACAGACTCTTCAGGTTATCGTACTTAATCCACGGTCGTGACCTGCTGCCATTCACCATCTACAGCTTCTCTCCAGAGCGTAACAGAGTTGTTCCCATCCGCAACAGCCAGAATGTTTCCTGTGAGCGACCACGAAACCCTCCACACGGGAGTCTTGAAATCATTCAACACTTTGCCTTCCCACTGCTCCCCTTCTTTGGCCACGGTCCATATGATGACCTTCCCATCTTGGGATGCACTAGCAATGGTGGACTTGGGGAGGCCCAAGTTCGGTGCCCAGGCCACATCTCTCACCCAATCCGCGTGCATCTGAAGTGCAGGGAAGCAGTCCATCTTCCATGTCCCATTGGACAGCTTCCACACTTTCACCGTGTTGTCACAGCCTCCAGAGCAGAGCTTCTGAACTGGGTCGAGCATACCGGACCCCACGAGGGCGCCTGGGGCAGTTGATGGAGCCCAAGAAACAGATGTGACGCCGACCGGGTGAGCTTGATCGATCCTCGATGTGTCCCAGCCACCGTCTGCTCGTGCACTGAAGACCGATATGTTGCCATCAGATGACCCACAAGCCAAACATAGCCCAAGTTCATGTGGTGCCCAAGCGATGGAGTTGACAGATGACTTGTGGTCGTCAAAGATATGGGCTTGGGTCCACTCATTTGCATTGCCCTCCTTCCACAAAATTACACGTCCATCATAGGAGCAGGAAGCGAGCAAGGACCCAAATTTAGGGTGAGCCCAGGATACTTGCCAAACGGGGCCTTGATGACCGGTGAGCTTAGCTAGAGGCTGAGAGGTATTGTTGCTTACTCCAATTATCTTGATGGAATGGTCTGCTGATGCTGTTGCAATGCGCTTACCATAGTAATCCATCTGAACATCGTGGACTGTGTCCTCATGGCCAGTTTCAATCTTCTGTAAAGGCATTTTTGGTCCCAATGAAGTTTCCACCCTATAACAGAATGACATAAATCAGGAAATATAATTTACCACAAATAACCTCTTGTTCCATTCATGAACAGGGAGAATTAACCTATCAATTCATCATAGAATTGACCCATTACAGTTCATCTTGTTATCACGTTATCCAACAAACATTGACTGCAGCAAACATAGCAGGTACTCTAAGTCCCAGTTAATGAAATGGTTACAGCTTGAAGATACAAACTACATGATTACACATTCTAGCAGAAAAAAACATTATTCCATTGACAACTCTTCGCCTACTTTAGATGAACTAAATCGAATGCGAATTTTAAACCATAAACACTGGCGAATATCAGTTTTCTCTTCATGCCTGGGGCTTATGAAGCCCCAAGCCAGGACGAACAGCAACAAGAGAATGAGAAACAACACAACCAATCTAATCATGGCATCAGATTTCAGGATGATAAACCCTAAACACAGAGCTCCAGATCCGAGCAATCTACGACAAGATCATGGCAATTCATTCAGATTTCTAAGACTCATAAATCAAAAATCGATCACGAGAAAACAGGCAGAGGCATTCCTGGACGGAAAATTCAAACGGTTTTATCTACACAAAAGCACCAGATCGAACCGAGAAAAGCGCAATTATTCAAACGCATCCGAACAACGAACTCGAATTCAACATCGCTCATTGAGACAAATGAGATTGGAAAGCGAAGATGGAACCTGACGGATGAAGAGGAGCTGCGGCGTCGCGATAAGCGAGATCGGCGGAGGAACCTCCCTGGATGACCGACGAAGAAGAAGGAGAAAATAGAGGCAGAGAGAGAATATCGTTTGCCAGATTCAACTAAAACAGTAAAATTTATTCTCCCCAACACAACAAACAAACGTTAAGATAGTGAACGAAAAACGAAAGTGGGCTAAAGGGCCCGTTATCAAAATTATCGAAGCGAAAATGAATTGGCTGAAAGAACAGCTAAGCGCGGTCTTGGGCTTTTGCTTCCATTGGATTTTGGGTTTCAAGTTAGACCGGACCCTGTAAAACTAGGACTGGAAATCTAGATCAAAGCGAATGTGGAACTGCGGTCTAGATCGTATAATATAGTTTGGTCTGAACTGTGAGACCATAACTATGGTTTGGTTTGGTCTGGTTTATGGTCTCCTCCTTTAATGTGTGGTTTAGAAGTAGTTTGGACCGCGGTCTACCGCAGTAAGTCGTGACAGACCGTGACATACTACCTACTAACTCATACCAAAATAACACTAAATTAAACCTCCATTTATGCATTTGAAAAACAAAGTTAGTTGATTATTCATTCAGTTGAGGGTTAACAGATTGCACAAATGATCGCTTATGTGTTATCTTCTTATCAAAGAACCACACAAAAACGAGAAAGATTCATAAATAATATTCACTGACAATGTCTAGACTAAGAAGTAGATAAACGAAAACACTAGAAACAACTTATTCATCTTGATGAGATAAGGAAAATTATTGAGAGATAGGCGACCATCTTAGTGGTTCTAAACGACATCGAAGTCGTCCCGACAGTGATCGACCACGAGAACCTTTCGGATCACTAGAGAGAGAGAGAGAGAGAAGTGGTAGCACAATGAGGAAGAGGGAAACAAGGGTAATTGATCTTTGTTTTTTAATGGATACGGGATAGAGTCTTACAGATTGGAGAGAGAGAGTTAGAAAATTGAAATGTTCACTAATCCCCTAATATATTTCTTCCCATTTTAATTACGATCACAAATTTTTTGTTTCACTAGAATATTGGTCACTGAAACTTTTATTTTTATAAATACCAGGGAGGGGTGGGGGACGTAAAAAATTTGAATTTTTTGAATTTTCGTTGTCTGGTTTAGACCGCACCTCACAGGCATGGTCTGGACCGTATAGTATATGGTCTAGTACATGGTGTGTGTTTCTATCTCTCACTGTGTACCACAAACCATGTATATGGTTTGGTCTAGTTTGGACCGCAGCGTTTTCCACACCTATGTAAAACCTTTCCTATAATTTTCCAGAAGCGGTGCAGTAATGATACCGATATGCCTACAGTTAAAGGTGTGCATCATAACCTTACATAACTAAGTCCGAGCTAGTCATTTTAAGTAGGCCTCAAATATAATGGGTGGAAATTAATGCATTTTTATTATTTTTTTTATTTTTTTAATCGGTTCTAATCTTTTTCATTCTAATTTGTATTTCAATTTCTTTGTGCACAAATGACACGAGTTCGTTGTGCTCTAGAAAATGAGATCAATTTTCAATATATTTCAATAATTCTTTTATGTACTCATACCACTCCTTACCACCTCCATACCATATTGTATCTCTTTCATTTTTACGTCGATTTTGAAAAAAATTTACACAAGGAACGAGTTTATCATGATTAATTGGATCTACAAATTTTTGGTTGAAAAAATACAGAACCAAAATATACCACCTCATACCGCCCTAATATAAGGGTGGTATCTTGTGGTACATAATGTTGAATGTTGTAAATGATAGTTAGCATATTCCTACTATCATGTATTCAACCATTTTACAGTTTGGTATGTTCATACAACCATGATACACTTTCAAACCACGTGTATGCTCTTATGCAATACCAAACAATACCACCATGGTATAGACTAGTACTAAATGCCTCGAAATTTTTTATTTCAAATATATATCAAAGTGGATATCATTTTGAAATCGCAATTTATCTTTGTAAAAAGAAATTATGACTCAAAACAAAAAAGATATATCCCGTTAAAAATTAGAGGAGAAAATATTAAAGTCTTCCACCATAAATGGTGATATGACATGTTATGCATGGTTAAGAGGCTATATATCTTTCGTTTTAATTTGAAATTTAATCATTTTTGCATAGATAAATCAAATTAATTATGTTCTCAAAATGATATCCACTGTGATGTATATATATATTTGGAATAATGTTTTTTGAGTAATTTAGTACCAGTCAATACCAATATACCATAGTGGTATTGTTTGGTATTACATAAGAGCATACCATGTGGTATGTAAGTGTATCATGGCGGTATGAACATACCGAACTGAAGAATGGTTGTATACATGATAGCAGGAATATACTAAATGTTATTAACAACTTTCAACATTGTGTACCAAAAGATACTACCCCTATACCAGAGTGGTATGAGGTGATATTTTTTGGTCCTGTAATTTGTTACCCAAAAATTTTCAGATCCAAAATCATGATGAACTTGTTCTTTCTATGCAAATATTTTTAAAAGTGACGTAAAACGGAGGAGACACCATATGGTATGGAGGTGGTAACCGAGTGGTATGAATTTTTTTTCTTTAAATATATTGAAAATAGATATAATTTTGTAGAGCATAATGACCTCGTTCTATCTATGAAAAAAAAATGAAATCCAATTTACAACAAAGAAGATAAAAATTAATTAAAAAAATAGGGAAAATAAAATGTCATTAACTGCTCAACCCTTATCTATAAAGCCCATTATACATGAATTACCCATATTTATTTATACAAGGTTATACACCATAGGGTTATTCACTCTACCTGTGGCCGCACTAATGATATATTAATTCTAACGTGTATGGCAATAGGGACACACTGCTAAATTTTACAAATTCAGGTGTCATGACATAACTGTGAATACAAGAGCAAAAGAGGGGTGTTTTGGTAAGTATGAACATGTGTTTAGCACACCCATCAATTTTTGCCATAAACCTCCTATTACATATATGTACAACTAGTCCACTGTGTGGCGAAGTCAGAAATTTAAACAAGCGAGACTAAAATATTCATGTGTGAGATTTGAATGATGCTTACCGGAGGGGACTATAGGCCCTTACCAACTAGAACATTTTTTTTATTTTTGTTAAAAAATTTACATATAAATTAAATTTACCTACATTTTGAAGTTGGGTCACTATAGCCCTCCTGCATCCAACGTTACATTTGAATTATTTCCATTTTACGGAGTCGAAAACATAGTTCAGCATAAGCATATAAAGTACATTGAGTACGTTCTCGTAAAAAAAAAATGGTTGTCATTACACTGGTTATGATCTATACTAAGGACACAATAGATTTTATCTGAAACATGTAAAATTGTGTGTTTCCTATATACTTGCACATCAATACCTTCGCACATCGATCCTTCGGTATAGTTTATTTCTTCAAGATCTATATCGGGAAGTTGGTTGTTGTTGTTACATGTCACAAAGTTATAGCTTGTTAATTAGTCAGCCACGGTAGCTTGTTATGTTAATGTTTAGAGATATGTGTTTCAGTGTTTGGGTTGATTAATGGCCGGAACCCAGAAGTAATAGTAATTAATTAAGAAGAAGAACACCATAAGATTTGGTAGCAGGTAGAGGTAAATACCAAGTCGTTTTCCAGAGAAGGCAAGATATTTCCTTAGAAGCTTGCATTTACAGATCACATTAGTCGGCTGCATAGCCACACGATTGGACAACTTGCATGGCGACGTTAAATGCAACCTATATTTGTCTATAGATTCTCCATCAATTCATCACTTTCATGGCTACCATGCATAAAAAGGGAAAAAAGAAAAGAAAAAGAATGGAGCTCAGAGCTTGCAAGTCTTACCTTTCATACGACTTTTCAGCATATATCATGGATGCATGGGTGATATTTAATTCACGTGAAGCTAGGTACTTAGCTCTCCATAAAAATTATTATGGAGGTTTCATTTATGGTTCCTTGCATATAATGTATTGTGTGGTGGTTAATAAGGATACCACATTCTTAGTTAAAAATTAGTTTCATAATTAATATATAAGGTTCAAAATACAGGAATTGGTGGTTAATTAGTTCATGGCGAGTTTGTACCTCCCGTGAATTGTTCGATATGCACCCTCTTTTTAGGCATGCATGGTCTATGGTTTGTATGAAATGGTAATGAATAAGATGAGTCTCTCGTGTAGTATGGGAATGATAATATACATATCAATTTTTTTTTCTTTTAAATGATATGAATTATTATATTATAGTTTCTAAACAAGAGGTATTTAATTTGGCCATTTGGGTATTTTGATCTTCATTACCCTTGATAACTGAGTTGCCAATGGTTTGTCGCATTTTGGAAAGGGTTAATACCCTAGTTTGGCCCAAAGTTTACCGTAAGTGACAGTTTTAGCCCCATTTTTTAAATAAGACATTTGTGGCCTACTTTTGAAACTATTAGACAAATTTGGCCCAAAATTTTCTTTGACCGTTAGTATTGACGGTCAACACTATTCCGTCAGTTACTCAACAAAAACCCACTGTTGTTGCATGCCACGTCATTAAATAATATATTAATTTAATTTTATGATTCAGTAACATTTTTTAACAAATTAAGAAAACCCCTCCTATTCTCTCCGTCCGACCAAACTAGGGTATTAACCCTTCCCTTCCACATGCCAAAATCCTCGCCGAACAGCTGCGCCACCAGTTCAGCCGTCTGGGAGGCTGCCAACGGAGCCAAGCTCATCGAAACATTTTGCGTTGCCACCGGGCTCGACGTTCGCGTTCTCTCTGAGGAAGAGGAGGCGAGATTCGCCTATTCCGAAAGTTCGCGCCGCCACCGAGCTTGGCCTTTCGTTCAGATCTGAACTTCGATTTGGAAGGAATCCACCTCTCCCCTGCCTTTTTTCGGCGTCGCCATTCGCTTCCTTTTCTTCAATTTTGTCACTTTGTAACTAAATCTTCTCTTCCAGTTCATGTCGCCTTTTCTTCTCCAGAGGAATCGAAAACTGGAAACCCAATGCTGATTCAAGGGAGACCGAACTCACCAGTTCTTGTTCTGCTCTAGCTATCGGCGAATCGAAAACCCAAGGCTGATTCTCTGGCAATCAATACCTTCCTTTGACGAACCGAAATCTCTCTCTTTCGCCGGCTAGACGAGCTATTGATGGAAAGGAATCGAGGTCACG